TAATTAAAAGCTGAATACACTTTAATACTCCAAACCTAAAAGCTCAACAGAAGCAACGGGTAGTCTTCCTGGATAAGAAAGTAAAAGAGAAACAGAGAGAGAGAGAGAAAGAAAGACGGATTAGAAGGAGAAGGAGGTAGGGTGTGGGTGTTAAGGAATATTTTCGGCACCCCTACGGGCATTCTGACACCTCCTATTAGCTTCAAAAGCCTCAAAGAATATTAAGACCCAGAAATGTAAGTAATGTGTACACTGTACTCCCACATGGGTCCATTTAACCTTACACTGAGGCGGGCTGCAGAGATGATGGGATTACACCAGGCTTATTAAAACACTCATTACCAGTCAGCTGCTTATCTTCAAGTCTATCTTAGCCTTACCAGTCTGTAATACATGTCAATAATAATTACTGGTTTTAATAACATTAATGATAAATAACAACAGTATTTACAGGCAGTCTACAGAGAAGCTGTCAGCGTCGACGCGCTCCGTCAAGGAGGAAGTACTTTTCGCTGTCGTGAGAAGGATGAAAAGCACAGAACTAAAAGATCTGTGACACTGGGCCACTTTCTTCACCGCAGGCTTATACAACACAAGCCCAGCTGTGTGCATGTATAAGCACAAGTGCCAAGGAATGGCCAATTAGAGAGAGTTTAGCCATTAGGTCCCATTGAAAGCGCTCAAAAATGAGCCTTAGCAGCTGTCGAGAGCCACGTTACTAAAATCCAAGCGATATTCATTCCTCTGGACACGGGCGGTTTCTTTGATCTGCGTAAGACAGACGTAGGAGCGTGATTAGCTCATCCTGGCTTCTTTTTCTTCACAACTCATGAAGCTCATCAACGTCATTCTAGGCTCTCTGTTACTGCTCATATTGCAATCTACTGGTTAAGGAGACATTCAAATGAGGATACCGTATCATTTATCTACACGTGGCCCCGATTACGCGCCACTCACATGAGCCACGTTACTCCACTCGTGAAGGAATTAATGCTATTAGAAAGGAAAAAGGGTTTCCGCAAGGGTTCTCTGGGTGGTTAATGGTTCAAGCTTAAAACATTCTCTAGAACAAAACAAAAAAACTCATTCGGGTTCATTAAGTAAGGAATAAAATATCGACAGTGAGGTGGCGTGATGCAGCTACCACCCCAAAGTTGATTATTTTCCAATAACAGCACTGCCTGAAGTGTTTTATTCCTCTTATATCACAGCTATTTTCCACAGATTACATTTTTTACAATGACAAGTCATGATTTATTCATTTATAGGTCCATTTAATGATGTGGAACATCCACAACACAATTTAGATCTACTACTGCTACTACTTAGAGCTGCCTTAAAATGAATCGACGCACAGCACTGTGGCGTGAGTGTTTATAAAGAATACTCACTACATAATTTTGTCTAAAAACAGCATTTCTGTGCACTATGAGCACGGCTATATATTCAATTTAAAACAGTCTACTGAATCTCAAACATTTGAATAGTCTATAAGGATAAGAAAGGCTCAAGATGTGTTATTCGTTCAAATGATTTATAAAAAAAACTCAGCAAAACATAAATCTATTAAAAGGCTCTTCTGTAGGACATAAATCATAAAAGGGTTTTCAACCTCGTTCTATCTCTTTCTGGTCAGTAAATGTTTATGCAAAACACATTTCTGTAAAATGCTTTCGAGAATTCTTTATTCAGAAGTGTTTGTGTATTGCCCACTCTGTTATAGGGAAAAAAATGAGTGGTTATGTGCACGAAAGTAGCCAGTTTCTGGCTGATCGCATATGCATACCACAAAACTTCCAGAAAAGTGTAAAAAAAAAAAAAAAAAAAAAAAACATGATTATTCTCCTGCAGTTCCCAATTTCCAACATCCATACTGCTACACTGCTCAAAGGTTGAACAAAACCACACAAAAAATCACTTTGGAAAAGGTTTCCCATCGGTCTCACCCTCTAACCTAAAACTTAACAGTAGTTCTGAATTTGTGAAATCCATTATAAGCATGTTTCTGGGAAACAGGTCTTCTGTTCTTTTCTCAGTACAGGGAAATATGTTGAAATTATCGTCTGCTGTAATTGCATGTATGCTCCAGCTGCAGTAGCTAGAGGTTAGGTTGAAAAATAATGGAGTATTCCTTTAAATCCAAAGAGGCTGAAATGTAACGACCGACTTACCGAACAACCTGCATATGAATTTTTATAATTAACATGCAATCAGTTGTTTATTCATTTGTAACGAAATTCCGTAGATATGTTGGTTTCTTTCATTACCCACAATGCTGTTCGATTACCTCCTGATAGTGGCGACAGTGGGATTTAGCTCTCGCTTCATCTCTCTAAAGATAGCAATGCAGCGGCGCTTTAGTGCTTTAGTCTGTCCAGCTCTCTCACCTCTCCATCTGTATACTCTGCTCAAACCAATCATATAGCTGCACTGCATTCTGGGTCTTTGAGCCCAATGTTTGTTGTGTGGACTGATTCTACGTCGAATTCCTCATTAATATGACATTAAGTGTTGCTGGAAAATGGTGATTGAGAAGAAGCTAACAGCCGAGGAAATGCGTGTTTATCCCCAAAATCATACACACATTTTTCAAACACATTTTACCATATCACATTCTTTATGTTCGAGTATTTTACACTGTTTTACACAAGTGGAATAAAATGAAAGCCCTAATTTGAAGCAACAATATCAGTCTTAATTCCAGGTGCGGTTTCTATTCTTAATCTCTTGCATTCATTTTTGAGCTCCCTGAAATTAATCTAACAGGGAATGCTAGCTAGGAAACGTTTACGGCTTGCATGAAGACTGCCTCAGATTAGTGCTCTAATACAGAGAATATTAACACTTTTGTTTTGTTTTTTTACCGAATCCAAACTTCTTGAGTTTATTCCATGTTTTTAACTAGATGTAGCTAGATATGATGAATATGAACCGAGTCGTATATGACAACCTGTTGTTTTGTTCTGTAAGAAAATGGGGATTATACTGACAGTCAAGAAAGTACATCACACTGTGTGGCAACAAGAGGTTACTATATTGTCAAGAAAGGTTCAGCCATAATCAGGAGCAATGGCATGACTTCATTCCCGCGGTCCCTATTTCCCTTTAAGCCGGAGATGGCTCGAAATAAATGAGAGAGCCGACGTGAAGTGGCACACAGAGACATAACCACACTTCCTCCGTAACCTCTGAAGATAGCTGACCTGCATTCAGCTTCCCCCGCCAGCCTAGAACTTAGCGCTGAATGCTGCATACTAATAACCCCACCCCACTGACCTGCAAAGCCTCATGGACAATCAAAATGCAGGGCAGCCATCACCGATTGATGTGAGGTGAGCACTGGAAACAGATTAATTGGGTGAAATCTGTTTTAAGTTTCACTGCTACAGGGATGGAAGCTAATGGCTTGGCATTTGAGGCCAGCCAACACTTTGATTGACGGGCCACAAAACTGGATTTCTTTTGAATACAGCAGTTTTTGATGAAGCCGTCTCCGAAACCCGAGCGGATGAGTGATGCCACAAAGCTTTCCTTAATTCATGCCGCTTAGAGTAAACACGGGCAACGCGGAGTGAAGCGCTGCTCATCTCGTGAGTGAAAATATATGGCTTTACTAACCGGTTTATTTCCATTTGGCCCCTTTACAAGCTTCCTTTCTTGGTGGAGCATTTATCAGTGCGCGAGCCAGGGGAGGCATCAGTCAGTGTTTCCGTCTTGATGAATAATTAGAGGCAGAGCTTTCAGGTCCAGCTTAGTCCCTCGTCAGCTGTCAGGCATAAGTCACTCGAGCTGAGCCGTAAACAAATCAGTATAAACACCCCCCCACCACCCCCCACGCAGGACCATCCGTCAACAGGAAATAAGGCGTACATGGCACAGTGTAAACGCAATGTACACATGTACACACGCGTGACTAATACGAATATACTCCAGGCTTAATCAGGGACATAATGGAGCCCCATAGCTTCTGGTGCTTGAGTAGCTTGAGTATGCATGTACGTGTGTACCCATACAAACTAGACGTGCTGAGAAAACGGTCACACTTCAGTGATCCAGAAGCAGAAATGGGCCCGACATCAGCACATCTCAGAGGACTCAAGAGCGACGCATGAATCAGAAGGAGGGGAGGGGGAGAGCAGAGAGCACAGCGCAGTGCAGAGCAGCGTAGTGCAGTGAGAACTAGCAGAGGTCAGCTGACTGTGCAGATGTGCCCCGTTAGCTTTGTTCATTAACGAGCAGAGGTAGCCACTGTGCGAGTCCATGCCGTGTAATGACAGGAAACAAAGCGCAGCTTCCGTATGAGCAGCTAAAAAAATGGCCAGAGACCTGGCGTTAGTGAGTTACCTACAGTACATGAGGCATTGATAATTTGTTCAATTAGTGCTCAGAGGCAAGCAGTCACTAATGATGATACTCAATGCTAATGCTTAGGCGATGCTACGGAAGTGCTCCGAGTTGGTTGATAAGATAATGAGTCATTCACAAAGGCTCCAGCAGGTGCCATTATTATTGCAAACGCAGGAGCCCTCTCATTGAATCTCATTGAACAATTACTATTCTGACTTAGCCCTGTAAGCCATGAGTCACCCCTTGGGAGAGATGACTGGTACACTGCAAACCCTTTGCCCCCTGGCTAAACTGTGAAAATCGAAAGCAGGTGTTACACGTCAAGGGAGCCTAAATCTTTACACCATAGCATCTGTGTTAAACAGCAGCAGCACCACAGGTCACACTCCAACGTATCTTTGCTTGTTCACAGCCTCCGGGGCTTTCAGCAGAGTATTATTCTAAAACTACTGTTTCGATCGATAAGCAACATACATTGTTGTTCTTCTTCCTCTTTCGGCTGCTCCCTTTAGGGGTCGCCACAGTGGATCGTTGGTCCACATCTTTGATTTGGCACAGATGCCCTTCCTGATGCAACCCTCCCCAGTTTTATTCAGGCTTGGGACCGGCACTGGGAGTGCACTGTCGTGTGCAGCCCCAGTGGCAGGGGTCGGTTCCCTGGCCAGGAATCGAACCCGGGCCGCGGCGATGAGAGCGCCGTGGCCTAACCACTCATCCTCCACGGACCCTTAATAAGCAGCATACATTAACACGCTTGATAACTACCTACCCGGTATAATCATTAATGAATCACTATCATGATATCCTAGAGATGTCCTAGCTATCATTGGTCTTAAGAATAACAATTTTAGCCATTTCTGTTGTTTTAGTAACCAAGCAATAATCAATCAAATATCAACAGCAACAACAAATTTTCGTGTAGCTACACAGATCCATATAGAGTACTGCACATCTTAGAAGTCAGAATTTTGCTTGACAACATAAATACAGATAACGGATACACATTTTTATCCCTATTTATAATACCTACTGCACCTCCTGTACATAAGTCATCCATTCCCCTGTACATATCACCCTCATAGCTATATATCCTTATTTGTAATTTATTGTAAATATGCCACTTCTGCACTTCTGGTTAGATGCTAACTGCATTTCATTGGCTTAGTATATGTACTTCGAACAATGACAGTAAAGTCCGAATCTAATCTAATAATCGAATGAATTGCATGCACCCCTAATCAGTTCTTCCACAATGCTGAGCGAGTTCATGGTTACGGATCATAATTAGCTGATTAGATGTTAAATTTGAAAATACACTGTTCTGTGTTTTTATTTCCAGCGCTACAGTCTTGCTGGTACTATGTTAACACACCAAGTGTATCCTGAAAACGTAGAGTAGAATACCACAGTACCGCAGTTTTTTTTCTTGTTTGTCCTGCTCTCAGTTTTGTGTATCTATACATCCACCCCTACTGTTAACAATAGTAACATTAGTTCATTGAAATGTGTGTTTCTCATTTGAATAATCTGGAAGTGGTGCTGAGAACACCGGTCGATACGTCATGTTCTCCACAGTGTTTCTCATAAAGCAGCTGGAGAGAAAAGGAAACTGCAGCTCCTCATCCTATACCCACGGCTACACTGATGCCTGCAATATTGGTTAATCAGTATAGAGGCGTTCGGTCTTGGCGAGCTGACAATGCCTCATCAGGCAGTTAAGCTGTCAGTGCGGTTGCTGACAGCAGGTCTTGGCGTAGCCGTCGCTTGCAGTACGTGCCAGCTCAGAGCCAAAGAACGGTCGCCTCCTCTAAATAAGCATCCATTGCGATAAAAAGGCTCGATTCCGCGAGGCAGTCGTGCCTGCTCTCGCAAACTGACCCCAGATCCGACACTGCGATTTGGACCCATCCATCACGGGACGGTCGCGCTGCATCATTATGTTGTTTACTGTCTGATGATTGCCTGCACCTTGCTAAGGGGGGCAAAAGCAGATTAGATAAATTACACTCCCATATGGCTCCTCAGATCCGCTATCATCTACCGTATCCAATGCTGTTAAATCACTGTGCATAATTCAATAGCTACGGGGGAGTTTGTTTCAACGCTGTGCCACTTTTTGGACATTTGCATACTACAAGTGCATTGAAATGCCTCCAGGACGATTTCAGTATTTCTCCCGCACGCAAATATACACAAAACTGAAAGCAGGACAAACAAGAATAAAACTGCAAATACGCTGAATAATTCATCAGCTCTATTCTCGAGTGGTTTAAATTGACCTTGTGTTAAAACGGTGCCCTTCAACTCTCTGCAGAACTGTACAACAATAAGGTAGAAGGCTGACAGTGAGCATATGTGACTACAAATTGAATACATACACACACTGTTCTCTTCTGCTCGGGATTATTTTTTCCCTCTGAAAGACAGCCACAACAAGCCAGTTCATCCCCTCACATTTATATCTCTGCTGACATATTCATAAGTAACGTACATGTTTGGCAGCATAGAGAGTGACCTTTACAGTCAGTGCAGACCTCTAACTGTAAAACGGAATTACGTCGGAAACACTCATTACATGTGTATGCTTGTAATATCTTCCTTCTTAGAAGTCATCTGTTGGTGTGAGAAAAACTTTAAGTAAGGGGTCAGGGATGGACAAATGATGAATTCATCACAAGGCCATCAGGCAAATAAAAGCTCCAGTGTATTTGCCCAGTCTCATGGTTTGGTTGCCCAGAAAGCTAATTGACAAAAAAGTGGAAGCTAATGTAACATAATAACATATGGCCAGCTAGTTAGCTACGGATTAACGTAAACAAACATGTATATGAATGTCTGTGGGAAAGAGGAATGGGTATCCATCGTCATTATAAAATTAAATTTTTGATGTAGCACATAAGCTCAACAAAAATAATTTTAAGTTGTATCCTCAACAAAAAGTCGTAGGCCAAAGTTTCATCTACGAGCTGTACATCTGCCTTAAGGCAATATGTAGTAAAAGCACTACAAAAATAAAACTGAACTGAAATGAAATCATTAATAAAATCAAAATGTGTTTAGCTTATGGTGTTAGCAGGCTCGACGGTGTGTGTAGTGCAGCAGGTGGCAGGATTCGGAAGCATCACGGTGCGTCATACCGCTGTGAAGTACATTATATCTGAGCAAACATGCCAACTGAGAACGATGTTTTTTAAAAGATAATAAGGAGTAGAGTTTTTTCTTTCTCCGGTTGTTGAACCTACTTGTGCGCTGAGCAACAATGAATAAAAACCATACACAAAAATCTGCTTGTTCAGGGCATCCAGGCTACTGAAGTCTCAGATGCTGAGACTTATTATTGTTATTATTATTAACTAAGCATTTATGCCCATTTATGCTGTGTGTTAAATGCTAGAGAAAGCAGAAATAAGGCATCAGCATATGGACAGTATTTAATTCAGGTTGTTGTTATACTGCTGATGCTGCAGCGGGTTTTATCCTCAAGCTCGGCCCAGCACTAACTCACCTGCATATCTTCCAGCCTGCGTAATGTGCAATTTCACAAAAAGCTTAAGCCTGCCCTTATCAGTTCCTTCTCTCCTACACGATTTCCCTCCCAGACATTCAGAAGATGCTACAATATATATTGCAGTTCCTTATCTGCGCTTCTTTACAAAGCGTGCCGGCTTCTTCTGCGCGATTTTAAAACACAGTGGAGACCCAATTTCCCCCCTCGCTCTCTGCAATAACAGATATGGTGGTAATGTGTGGCCATTTTGGACAATAAGCTAAGAGTTATCATGAATAAACATTCTTCCAGCACAGGTTTCTCATGTCTCATCCACATTCATGAGATTCACAAGTCAATCAAGATTCCTGTGGGGTTTTGTCATTCATGAGATTTGTATACTTTACTCATTTTCCATGTGACAGTACAGCAAAAAGGGTTCCTCAGGCCACCAAATTTAAAACCAGCCCACACTATTCATTCCCCTGTCTTTAATACCCCAGTAGCCGTGCAGTATCCTCCATGCTGAAGACTAACCCGATATCAGGCGTCACACTCGAACATGGCCTGTAATTAAGTGAGAACACTTGCATGAGGCTCGCTGATGTGTTGAAATAACTCGGTCTGATGAGAGCAATGGCATAAAGAGAAAGGCACTGTGGTGCTCATTGTAGCGCACTCAAAACACCCAGCTCCGGTCACCATGGGCAGTGAAAGTACAGCTTTATTTTAACTACACAGCAGAGAGCAGGAGCAGGATTTGAGCCTGACAGCGAGCATTCTTTCTGCGTCTTCAGTTTCTTTTCTTCTTCTACACAGCGCTTCTGCAGTAGTTTGAAAGAAAAAGACAGAGCCATGAGGGCAAACTGGGCAATGATGGACACCCTTGGGTGACTGCCATTCCTGCTGCTCAGTGAAGAGAACTGTTTCACAGTCTGAATTGGGATTTTTTTTGCAGGCTAGTCCAGTTATTTGAGTGTCAGCAAATGTCCTTTTGACCCATGAGTCAGAGTTTAAATGCCTGACTCGGAACGAATAAACCAAAATCAGCAGAACTGACGTACTTCTCTGGTCCTTAAATCCACTTGCAAATAATTTTGACAGAGAAACGGGCTTCCTACGAATAGGCTTCTCAATCTGTTATGTGTGGCGGCCTGGGAAAACCCATCGGATGTGTAGAAAAATTGTGTTTTGGTTCCAAAAAAAAAACACCTAACAAGACAGCAAATATCTTTCACCAAGATGACATGGAAATGGTTTTATTTACTTTTTAGTCTTACCTAAGCTATCTTCTTGCAAACACCATGTTGTGTAAAGAGCCAGTGTAACAAACACTGTGATTAAAACAGTCAGTCTGCCTAAAATGTCCAAAACCGTGCCAGCTACGTGTGATTTCCTCACACAGTGAACGTCAGGTTGTTGAATAGCTACTTGTCACAGCATAACGTACATAAGCTTAATTAACTCATTTTGTAACCAAATATCGGCTGTCAAAATGTCTGCAGTGCTCCTGTGCCACAGTCAGAATAAAATATTTAAAAGCACTTTTCACTTTTGGAAAGAACCAGACTTTAAAATGCTGAAACCAATTTCACATCAGGAAAGCCAGTAGTTTTCAGAACGATATATAGGTCAATTTCACCATGTGAAGGGGTTTCCCAGGCCACCACACCTTCATGTTGTGTAAAAATGTCTTTATTAGATATAGATGCCATCATTCAAGATCTTTTCTCTTGTTAAGATGGCATTATTATTTACACACACAGAAAGAAGATGATGTAGTAGAAAATGGATCCAACAAACTGGATGCATGGTATGTTTTTTCTTTTAATCTATCCTGTTTATTAAGATTCTACACTAAACCATGATCCAAAAAAAAAAAAAAAATGGCTGTGATTCCTTTATCCACGTAAATAATCCCCGACTGATAACGGTGCTAATTCACATTTGCGGTTTTATGAAATTGTAATAGTATCACCCTGGGTAATTATGTTTGGCATGCTAAGTGCTTCATGAGCAGGGTGTGTGGACAGAAGGAGCGCTCGCCCTCTCTCATCTAGAGATAGGGAGCAAAAAATCAATAGTTGCTTGAGCTGACAGTTGTGACAGTACAAAAGGAATTTGACATTGAAGAGCGTAAGAGAAGATGGAGGACTCCCTTAGTGTCTTTGCAGATCAGTCCAAAGACACGGTCATGTATGTGAAACGAAACGGACGTGTCGGTTAACCCAAAGTGAA